TTGTAAAATAATGTTGGGTTCCACATTATCTTATTTTATCAACATGAAGGAATTAAGTCTATGTAATTTATTATTTTTTTCACAAATTTAAGTGTATCGAACATAAAACAATCAAATTGTCCCACTAAACAGCAAGAATTTCAGCTTATTTTAAAAGGCACCTGCTTTACCCCTTTTTCAAGATGTAAGATAAGTCTTTTGTGTCTCCACAGTGTGTCTGTAAAGTTTCAGCTCAAAACCCCTATTAGTTTATTTAATATACCTTTCAGAATGATTGGATTTTCTGCTCTGATCACAATGTAGCTGTTTTTGTGGCCTGTGCTTTTAATGCTATATCTCCCCGCCCACTGTTGCCACATGCCTGTCAGTGTGTCTCCGTCAGATAAACAGCAGTGACAGACATGAAGGAAGCAGATCTCACGTAAAGTGTGTGAGAAATACTACAGTAAGAACTTTCCCTATGATTATTTGATGTATTTGTTGTAGAATTAATTCAAGTCTTTCTGCAATGATGAGTCACACACAATGTCGTTACAAAATTCACAGACTCAGACACAGCACGCGCATTTAAATTTACACTGTTTTTGCACGGCAAATGTGACAGGATACACAATAATATCCACTGCTGTATGGATATCAATTATGCTAATGTACAAAATAAACCTGATTTAACGTCCACAAACTGGGATTGAAGCTTCATCTTTTATAATTGTTCTGAGGTGATAAAGTAAAGACAGTAAAATCGCTGTAATTCATTACAAACATGCACTGTTTTGTAAACGTTTTAAACTTGTAAAACTCTTTCTTGATCACATTTGATGATGACTGATAATCACAGAGCTGAACAGATCTTTTAATGCCAGTTGCTTTGTGCATGTCCTGTCTTGTTGATATGATTATATGCGTTACTACGATGGCCTGTTAATACGCCGCTGTCAATCTATTCGGTGGGCAGGGAAACCGCACTCCTACGTTATGTTGCGGCGGGCCACAAAATGAGAGGGATTTGGATCCTATTTTAACACAGGAAATAAAAAAATAAAATAGATATATTGTCTTTAAATCACCCCTATAACTGTGGACACACTTTATCTACACACAGTTCTGTCCAAACAGCTTACAAAAGATGATGGTCATCATAGGTGCCCTTTAATTAAGTAGTATGAACTAACAGAAAATCTCAGTTTTTAAGTGAAAGAAAGAAACTCAAACAGGTTTGGAACAGGTGAAGGGGTGAGTAAATGATGACAAAAACTTTCCTTTCTGGGTAAATCAGTGACTGTTTGGAGAGGAGACACAAAAAAACATACAGTATTGGGGAAATTCTCTGCTGGTGTCTTCTGGCTGTCACTTTACATTTTGCACCTTAATCAGTTTCTGTATTAATTTGGATTTTTACCTCCAGAAACTTCCAGCAGCACCCATGGGCTCTCCACGTAAGCCAGCTCTTGTAATATGACTCTGAGCATCAAAATAACTGAGGAGCTTCTCTTACCTGCAGGCCATCCAATTATCTGCTCCTGCCTAAAAGAAATAACTTTGTGCTTTCGGAGAATGCTGCCACAGATCCAGCATGGTTATCCACTGCGTCATGCCATCCTCTCAATGCCGCTTTCTCTTTACCACAGGAAATGCTGTCAAAAGCAGAGCATCCATTAACAGCCTTTAATTCCAGTCGCTTCTAATAAGTGGGCACCATGGTAAACTGGGTAATGAAACTTGAGTGAAGATTCAGCGCTAAAAGGGATCATTTCACACAGAGTTACTCATCTGGTTTGGAACGTATCGCATTGAGGAGAGCTGTGGCCAGAGTGCTTATTAAACCCAAAATATAGTGACAGGGGCATCATTAGTTGGACTAGAAGTGCGTCAGTAGGAAATGCCCATGAATAAGGGCACACTGGGCGCACTTTGACACACTGACAAAACCCATTTCAGCTGAGGAAAAAATGGCTCTCATTCAAACCCTATTAGTCTTGGTTTATGTGAGTCATGGGACACAACAGTAATTTATTTTGATTACAAGATAGTAGCACGGGTCTATAATTAAGGGTTTAAAAATATAGCATGATTAAGGAATAACGTGAGCAATTGCGACAATGGATTGCATCATTAATTTGTGTTTAGTTTAGTTAAGCCTGAAATTATTCATACACCTGGGGTCTATGTTGACTGTACATGCTGCCAGTATAATTGTTTACAGTTTAAGTCCACTTTTTAACAGCACTCGTTCTGGGTTTTGTTAAAGTGCTATATAAGCCATGTAGAAATTCATCTGGCTAAAGCACAACTATAAATCTAAGATTAAAATAATTAGGGAATCATATACATTTATTTACTAATGTTAAAAATAAGATTAATTTAAATATATTGTTAAATACATACAGTACATACAATAATACAAATATTACAAAATATTAATAATAATATTAAATATATAAAGGTTTGAAAAATCATTAAAAAAGATTCAAATCAATAATATATATATATATTTATATATATATATATATATATATATATATATATATATATATATATATATATATATATATATATATATATATATATATATATATTAAAATGAATACATATTAGACTAATACAAACAACAAAAACAAGTTAAAATGAATTTTAATCAAATAAAAATTATTTTTAAATAAATAAAGTGGTACAATGAGCAAACAATACCTTTTAAATAATTCAAACATTCATCAAACTAACATATTTATTATTTATATTTGTAATTCAGTTTTGTAAAATGGAATAGAATACAGCTATGCAAAAAATTAAGTGACAGCCTTCTCAGTTTCTTTGGTTTTACTGGATTTATTGGGTGGATTTAAGTAAAATGTGTAATCTATGGTAAATAGTACGTCTAAAAAAGGTCTGAAAACATTTCAAAAATGTTTTTTTTTCCAGAACATGACAAATTGGTCAAAATAATAATGTTTTCATTCATTGTCACTGAAAACCATCAGGATTATTCCACCAAATATTGATTTACCTCAAGTTAAAACATTAATATTGTGTTATCCAAAAATTAAAAAAAAAATTTTTTAGCTGTATACTTTTTATATATTTATGAGGGTCCGTCATAAGAGGATGATTATATTTGGGGGTCTGGAGTAGAGGTCTATGCGGGACAGATTTTTTAGTCCCACTCTCGCCAGGTTTTATTCCACATATCCTCTCCCGCTGTATATTCAGTCTTTGTTCACCCGCTATCCGCTTAGAATAATTTTGTACCCATCCTGAAGGTTTTGCAAGGATTGTAGGCTAAATGTCAGTTTTGTTTACCCCTTTGTGATGAGACATGAGTGCTGCCTTAAACCTGACATTCCAGTCTTGACTGCTAAAGGGTAAAACTTTGAGATACTATAACATCGCGCAAAGGTAAATTTGTTCCACTTGCGTCTATGACACAGTAAACAGACTCCCATACATCAGACTTGCCTGATGTAGGTTTTCTTAATCCCGAATTTAGACTGCATGATTTTAGCCCCGAATTTGAATCACCAACAGGCTTTGAAAAATCTGCAAAAAATGCCTGAAATCCCAGGCAAATCGTTGCTCGTTACAACACAGTGTGAACCATCAAAGACGCGATCTGAGATAATCACTGATGATAACATCAGCGATCGCCTACAGCCAATGAGAGCGCAGCATCCACTAGTATGTGTATCTGCAGGCTAGCGGGAGGTTGGAGAGAAATTAAAAGCGCTCGTTTTCAGTTTATTTGAACCCAAGAAATGGAGGAAAAACTAGTGTTAATTTGGCAGGAGCTCCTGTGTCTGTTTGTGGTGTCATCTGAGCAATATCACAACCAGGCCAAAAAAGAAAAAAGTTAAGGAGAAATTGCTAATTCCCTTTTAGCCCATGTAAGCAAATATGTACATTTTCTACCCCATTAAAGGCTTCTTTCTCATTATGTAGTTAATAACAAAAGATATACTACATGTTTTTTTATTGTGAGAGGTAGTTTGGACAAAGTTGTCTGCGATTCTTTTTATTGTAAAGTCATGCAGTGCGAAACCCCCTCTTGCCAATCCATCTTGCCGTGTTTAAGAAAAGCAGCAACAAAATGCTACCGCTAATAGTTATGCAGCGTGAAAACATCTGTGATACGACTACTTTGAAAATCAAACAGTCTGAACTCAGCATATGAGTAAACTGACTGTTTTCTAATGCAAGCTAAATGTCCTTCAAGGACAGTGCATCTTTGCTCTGCCACGGCTAAGCCCGCTCTGAGGACATTTATACAGATGATGCGCGCACAGACTGTACAAATAAAATGCACATGCAGAAAGCACTGGTCATGCATTCAGCATGTCTAACCGTAATGATCACTGGCTGTACTGGTGCTCAATAGGAATAAGGAAATCACAGATATGCTGTTTTGAAATAACATAGGGACTCAGGAGTGCTATATTGTTAGACCGCCCACTCCCCTTCAAATTACACTAGAGTTACACAAGAGTTATAGAGTTATTCAGAAATGTATTCCTGCACCGCAAGAAATCGAATCCATTGTTGCAGTAAAGCCAAGGGAATGCAGATCTCTAGTCCAAGGCATCTAAAAGATAAAACAAGAAGCAATGCACATTCCAATAACTAACAACTGAGGATTAGTTCTGCCTTAGAATGTTTATTAGAATTTTTGTTGTTAAAAAACAACAATTTGCCTGTAGAGAAATGAAGTTGTTACATCCAGAACCCAACTACTGAGCTCTATAAAATCTAATCCTGCAGTGGTGTATATTTTTGTAAATTTCAAAGCATGGTGTGGATCTGTCTGTGGTGCTGTGCTAAATGCTTTTGGCTGTATAGTTAATTAGCACTTTTGCATCTCATTATTTCTTCTCTGAGTGTTTGTTTGTGTGCGGGTGAGTATAAGAGTGAGAGAGAGAGAACACGTGTTGCTGTTTCCTGCTAGTTCCACAATCACAATCACACCTGACTAAACAGAGCAAAAAAAAACATGCAAAAATACTACAATAGAATTAGACAATCACTTACACAATTTATTCAAATCAGTATTACATTTATTGTTTGAATTAAACCATGTTTTTGCATTTTTTCTATAGTATTTTTTGCATAACCATAATTTAAAAAAATGTTTTAGATCCATTTAAAAAGCAGCTGCTACATCTGAAATATATTAGGATTCTCTTCATAAATTGAATTTAAACTGTCAAATGTAAATGTTATCCATTATTATTATTTTGTTCTGTATAATAAACTGATTAATCAAGTAAAAAATCAATTCTGGCATTCATAAAACAGTACAAAAGCGTAGAATTTTAAGAAATGTACATTTCCTTGGTAATTTAGTTTTTTACCATAATTAAGAATCTACAGAATACACACAAAATGTCTGTAACTCTGTATAAAAATCATTTACACATAATTCAGGGCCATGATAGAAGAATGCGTGATATTAATTTCTCTTCCAATTACAAAAAAAGAAGAATCCTACATGGTCTTTGTTGTTGGAGTTCTTGCTTCAGGTTAGCAGAACTAGAAAGAAAACATTAATGTTAGTTGCATGGAATGCAAGATCATTAGTTTATAAGTATAAAGCAAATAAAAGCAGATTTTCTGACCTTCCAGCGATTGCCACATTCATTGCACAACACAAAGGTGGTCATTGGTTCATCAGCACTTCTGGTTTGCACCTGTGCACAAAACATTCATCAGCAGCAGCAGTAAAATTAAAAATGACATTTAACTTCATTTCATTTTCTTTTGATAAGATACAGCCTTGATATTTTTTACAAATATTTGAAACTAAAGCAAAGGATATTATAAATATCTCAAGAGGTTTTTTTTTGAAAGCTCTCCCTTTCTCCAAGATGAAGGTCTTTTCAAAGAGTGCATTACTCCGACTGGTTTCCAATGCACTATAAATATCTCCTGTATTGGAGAATGCTGATTTACCTGGTTGTAGGTGCAGTTTTTCTTCTTGCACTTGCCGCACTGCAGCAGGTCAGTGGTGGTTCCTCCAGTCTTCGCCATCTGATGTTCTCTAATGGCCTCCTGGGTCAAAACATTCCTCAACTGCTTCAGCTCATCACTGGCCATCTCCTACAACACAGTGATCATTTACAGTACACATAGCAGATTATATTTACAAGCATCTTTCTGTTTGTCTCCACTTACTTACTATATATATATATATATATATATATATATATATATATATATATATATATACAGTTGAAGTCAGAATTATTAGCCCACCCGAATTATTTGCCCTCCTGTTTAGTTTTTCCTCGTTTTCTGTTTAAGAGAGCAGAATTTTTCAACACATTTTTAAACATTATAGTTTTAATAAATCATCTCTAATAACTGATTTATTTTATCTTTGCCATGATGACAGTAAATAATATTTTACTAGATATTTTTCAAGACACTTCTATACAGCTTAAAGTGACATTTAAAGGCTTAACTAGGTTAATTAGATTAACTAGACAAGTTAGGGTAATTAGGCAAGTTATTGTATACCGACGGTTTTGTAGACTATCGAATTAAAAATCAGCTCAAAGACGCTAATATTTTTGTCCTTAAAATGGTGTTTAAAAAATTCAAAACTGCTTTTATTCTAGCCGAAATAAAACAAATAAGACTTTTTCCAGAAGAAAAAATATTATCAGACATACTGTGAAAATGTCTTTGCTCTGCTAAACATCATTTGGGAAATATTGAAAAAAGAAAAAGAAAGTCAAAGGGGGGCTAATAATTCTGTCTTCAACTGTGTGTGTGTGTGACACACACACACACACACACACACACACACACACACACACACACACACACACACACACACACACACACACACACACACACACACACACACACACACACACACAATATATTTACACACAAACAGTTGAAGTCAGAATTATTATGCAGAGTTTTTTTGATTTTATTCTTTTTTAAATATTTCCCAAATGATGTTTAACAGAGCAAAGAAATTTTCACAGCATGTCTGATAATATTTTATCTTCTGGAAAAAGTCTTATTTGTTTTATTTTGGCAAGAATAAAAGCAGTTTTTAATTTTTTTAACACAATTTTAAGGTCAACATTATTAGCCCCTTTAAGCATTTTTGATAGTCTACAGAACAAACCATCATTGTAAGATAAACTGTCTTTATGGCAAAGATAAAAAAAATTGTTATCCAGAAAATGGGGAAAAAATAAACAGGGGAGGGGGTGGGGGGTTAATAATTCAGATGAGCTAATAATTCTGAATTCAACTGTTTATATTATATATGTTCATATTATCAGGTTTTATGCATGTTTCACCAAGTTAAATTTAAGACATTAAGACATTTTTAAGACCATTATGAATGAAATTTTAGACTTTTACAGGGTTAAATGCAAAGATTTTATCATCATTATTATCATTTATTCATTAATTCATTTTCTTTTCAGCTTACGCCCTTAATTAATCTGAGGTCGTCACAGCGGAATGAACCGCCAACTTATCCAGCACGGGTTTATGCAGTGGATGGCCTTAGAACTTTCTATTCATCAACGTGTATTAGAGAAGAATTTGATGGCTTAAACGAAAATATTAATCAACACAAATGTAAACATACTGTAGGTAACAATAAGATATTTTTCTAGAGCAGCAAATCAGCATATCAGAATAATTTCTGAATGTTCATGTGTCACTTTTTGGAGTAATGAAAAATCTGCTTTGTCAACTAATGAACAAATAACATTACAAAACATTATAAAACAGGAAAGTTATTTTAAATTGTAAAACTATATTACAATATCACTGTTATTAAAAGTTTTTTTAAATATATAAAATAAAATAAGCCTTGGTGAGATTAAGAGATAATTATCAATATTATTTGCATTAATTATATTATAATTAAATATCATTTTTAAAAATGCATTATATAATATATATGCATTATATAAAATTATTTGAATGATAGTTTGTATTCAGCGAAAAAACTAAATATTAAAAACTTTATATATATATATATATATATATATATATATATATATATATATATATATATATATATATATATATATATATATTAGAATTATTATATAAAACACATTTTTTAAAATCTTTTATATAACAAAAACTTGGTACCCTGAAAAGAACACAAATACTTATCCAATTTACTTATACAAATAGTAGGTATTAGAGTAGTGTCAAAAAAGTTTTTTTTAATTGAGATGACATTTTGCTGAAGAACAGACTTTTAACCTGTAATTTTTTAATTATAATGAATGATTATTATTTATAAGATCCAAAAGGTGCACTCAACCTCAGCAGTCATGGAGGCGATGCGGCTCAACTCGATTGCCCCTGCCAAGACATTTTTGCGCAGATTGGGATTTTTGGGATCCTTCAGGTTACTAATGCGGCTGCGGACTCTGTTTTTGTATTTCATGTCTGTGGCTTTTGTCTCCTGGTATATATGTGAGCCACGGGAACAGTTAAGGAGATCAACTTACAAACAATAAACAGCAATTACAAAAAATGTTACACGTTTCAAAAGGATATAATCCTCGATTTCTGCACCCATAGCTTCGCAGTTTGTCCCATAGTCTTTGTAGTCATCTAAGAGGAAAGAAAACCAAATAGTGAATATCACTTCCACAATAATGAGCGTCAGAATGACATATGTCTGTGTTATTGTCATTGTTTGCTTTATATACCATCTGTACGGAGCGCAGCAGTCAGCATTTCGATGCATTTGTCCCTGATGGAGTCTCCGGTTTGCAGGCGAGGAGATAAAGGCCCCGCACTGGAGCTGAAGGATGGGGACAGGGGGCTTGTGGGTGTTGTGGGCGTCTTTGGGGTCTCTGGTTTACTCTTGCTGTTTGGGAAAAACAGGAAGCAGGAGTGTTTAGTTCTTGAATAACCTTGTAACAGTTTCATTTTCTATTAGACCAAATTGGGAAATGAAAAGCCCATTTAATTTAAAGTGTAAGTTTTCCCGCAGATATTTATGACTTTAGTTGAGTCTGTAAGTCGAAGATAGCTGTAAAAAGACAGAGACAGTATGATTTTGGTGAGATGGTCAATTTTTTGGGGCAAATAATTGTGTGTGAAATCAAAATATACGTTAAATGTTAAAATGTTAAATGTTTATTTTGCAGCGCACATTATTATTCTTAAGGTGAACGATTAATCAGTACAAGTTAATGTTTTGTTAATCTTTAATCAAAATCTGACCATTTGCTTCCAAGTCTAAGACCACTCCTGGTGGTCTTTCTCTCTTGATGTCAGTTAGACGGCTTCAGCCACAATATTCCTAACCATGCCCCTTTTACCATTAGTTTGCTATGAGGAAATGATGTACAAAAAAAGCCCTGCCCCCACTAAAAATTCCATTTCAGTTAAAAGTACATCCACATACTGAAATAAAAGTCTACACAACTTTGGGTTTATGATGACTTTAAGGTACAATCCTCGCTATTAACATTAACTATGACATTGGCCTCAGTAAACTCCTAGTTTCCTGCATATTAAAATTTTTTAGGTAGTAGGTGGGTTTAGGTAGGATCAAGGATGTAAAATAAAATCATGCAGAATTTGCACTTCATAAGTACTTATAAACATCCAAATATTTTAATAATAGGCATGTTATAAACAAGTAATTAAAAGTGAGCATTGTTACTTAGATTAAAGTTTTAGCTTTCTTTTAGCTTCACACAATGGCCTTATATAACATTATTGAACTATTAGGACATTTTTTATGGATTTATAATGTATAGTGATGTGTTTAATTTTAAAAACTTGTCTTTTTAAAACACACACACACACACACACACACACACACACACACACACACACACACACACACACACACACACACACACACACACACACACACACACACACACACACACACACACAGTATTTAAAATGGACATAAATTGAATATCCCAAGTGCAGCCATATACAGGAATAATTCTTCTAAATAACAATTAACTCATCTCAATAATAATAACACATCTGATCTTATCCAGAAGGATGAAAGTGAAAACATAATGCTTTTATTGGCAGAGAGTTTCTTGAGGAAGAATTAAGCCATAAGGCATGCTAGACACTGCTAAATGAGGCTACAGTAAATAAAGTTCTTGCCTTTCACAGGATTTCTTGGCCTGAGGTGAGCTGCCAGACCTTGAGTTAGTAGAATCTCGCCTGGAGAAGGAAGAAATGAGAGTTTATAGTGAACAGTAAGATCAGTATGTTTTGATTTATATTTCACTGAATGGCAAACTGCTTTATGATAATTTACCTCTCCAATTTTGGCTCACTTGATTGTCGTTTCAAAAGGTGATTGCTTGACTTGGAGTCAGTAGAGTCCTTACTGCAGCAAAGAGGAAAACACATGTTGGATTGGCAAGAATCAATTTATGTGCTCAAAATCCCTCATGATTTCATCAGATTTGTTGATGAGTAATGCTTGAGCTGACCTGTCTCTTCGTCCATCCAGGCTCGGCTTCCTAGGAAGAGGCTTTTTGGAATCTGTGGAGTCCTTTCTAAATAGAAAAGAAAAATAGGGAATTAAAGTGGCAAATTGTTTTGAAGAGCCATGCCAATCAACAACATTCTCAAACTCCTATGACCAAACTAGAACACTGCATGCACTTTTGCTGCCCTCTGCCTTCATTTTGTTGCAAAACACCCATTCAAACCTCTCAATCTTGATCTTCATTGATGGCCTTTTGAGAAGTTTATTGTCTCTTGTGTCTTTTCTGGAAAAGAAGCATCATCTCAGTGCTATGGTGATGATGACCAATCACTAAAAGCCATCTACAGACTTAATTGAAAGGATTCTAATAAATTTACTTTCATGAATTCATGAAGTTCCAAACCTGCATGACTTTACCAATATAGCGCACAAGTTATAGGACCTATGTTATTGATACTTTAAAGGTGTTTCTGAAGAATTAAAGCTAATAGTAAAGATTTTAAATTGAAAATGAAGTTATAAATATTTAGACATAGCTAATACAATAAAAGTTAAATACATGACAGTGGCAAAGCGTGATACACATTTGTTAGCTCGTGTTCATGTAAATACTGTAAAATTCTGGTTAAAAAAACAGACCAATTGAAACAAAATGCAGACTGTTATGTTGCATAGAGGATCATCTGATTGGCCACAACATTTCCTAGTGAGATTAACAATGATACAATGAACAATTAATCAACCCCCCCATTATTTTAAGGTTTATCGAAGCTTATATTAAATTTACTATGTTTGTGGGACTCTTATTTTGAAAATGGGAGAGGCAGAAAAGAGAAAAAAGCCTGCTGGTGCCACGCAATTGCTTTGATTTGTAAATGTGCGCTAAAATGGTGCTGTAAATAGCGATGCCAGTGTGTGAACACCAGGGCTTTTTAATTAGATTTTCATGGGGGCCAGTTCATGAAAAGCATCCCAAAAAAAGGGGCCGGAGAAATATGACTTGCAATATGAGTGATGACACAACAGCATATAGGGGCCCATATGTTGTATTTTTGCTCCTTAAGACATCCACGTTGTATTTTTCTATATTAAAATGTTAATATATTGTATTTTGAAACTACATAATATCAGTGCATTGTACAATAAGCTTTTGTTTTCAAACAAAGATTCAAATGTTGTATTTCGAAGTACAACAAAAGCAGTGCAATGCTTAAGTAGGCTTCTTCTACATTTAAACTCATGCATATGTTGTTTTGAACTGCGTAACAATAATGGATGCAATAATTTTAGATTTTGGTTGCACGATTATATAGTCTAAATTCTAAAGAATAATCATGGTTTCCCGGTTATCACGTCTAATGTACATTTAAGCTTTTTATTAGGTAAGAACTTAAATGAACTGTTTTTATTAGCTGCGCTCATACATACATAATCATTTTAATAATTTAATATAATTTGTCTAACATATCTTTTGTTTATGTTGCACTGAAAGCCACGTTTTCTACTTAGTGTGTCTGGAAGGCGCGAGTGCATCGCTCCGCTTGCACATGCATATTGGCATATATTCTAGTATTGGAAATAACACACTGTACACTCATAGAATTATTTTTTAAATATATATATATATATATAGTTTGGAAGTTTAAAAGACATGGAGCTGCACTTCACGTCCTGTGTTCGATGGGTTTTAGGAAGCATTTGTCAACCTGCAATTTTGTCAGAATCCAAAATGCGAGAAAGACGTATTCTAAATTTATTTAGCACCACCACAAAGAAGTATACAGTATGTTTAAATGCACCTTTTTTGTACTTTAATTTGTATATTGTGAAATTTGCAGAGCAGGTATGTAATGAGTCAACAAAAATATATCAGATTTCAAACTAACTTAACTTATTAAATCAATATATGGCACCTTTAAGATTCTACTTTGAGTTACGCAGAAGATCGCAAGTTATACAGGTTTGCAGCAACATAAGAATTAGTAAAAGTTATTACCATTGGGTGATCTATTCCTCGATATTTATAATACCAATGGTTTAGGATGCACACTGCAACTTCATGTTTAAGTTCACTCTGAGGTTTAGAATTCACCCAACAAATCATGCTTCACACCTGTCTTTATCATTGTGTACAGATGTCTGCCGCTTCGGGTCTGACGTGTCTTTTCTACAGTGAAACAGCTTTGGTCATTCTTCAGATGTTGAGGTTATTACATATAAAACAGAAGCATGCAGCTTTTAACATAGTCATGCTTTTCAGTTCCCCTTACAATTGATTTTCAATTAGACGAATGCAGGAAATACACAAGTTTTGTACAGTATGAAGTTGTAGCCACTATATACAGCCTGGATAAGTCAATGTTAGTCAGTTATGTCAACAAAGCAAAAATCAGAGCTAGATTGTGTGTGTTGGTCAGACAGAGTCGACAGATTTCACAGACAATTATGTAATGTATAATGGCCAGTGAATTAATCCACCCAGTCAAAAATATTAGACATGTTTGGCAATCTGAGCCAGTTTTACAACACATTTCTTTTAATATGCAGCTCTCAAAAATAAGACTTTGATTTTTGTGGGGAAAAGTAATTATAATTCAAAAGTGAACTATTAAATAATAGTTTTAAATTCATAAAGCTAGTGCTTAAGATAAAACACTGCTTAACTACAAGTTAATTTTACTCAACAATAGTTTTATTTAAGAGTAAGAAATAATCATGCTTCACACCTTTCTTTCTCATTGTGTTCAGATGTTCGTCGCTTCTGGTCTGCTGTGTCTTTTCTATTGCAAGACAGCTTTAGTTATTCTTCAGACAATGAGGTAATTATGTATAAACATGCAGCTTTTAATATCAACCAGCTTTGACAATTTGATTTTCAGGTCAAGAAAATGTCGAGCTGGAATACACTGCACAACATTTGTAAAGACTTTGTTCTCTATTTGAGGCCAGGTTAAGTCCATGCTAGATCCAAAACTCAGAGCCAGTTCAAATATTTTAGAATGTAGAATATTTAGAGTGTAAGTTGACAAATTATAATGTGCAGAGATTTCTGTTTTGCAGTTTCAGACTGGGTTTCCATCACCCTGTGTTAATGTGCATTTTGAAGTATCAAATGTAAAATGAGTGATGGAAATGACAAATTAAAAATGCTATGCTTGCTTGAGATGGTTTTAGACTTGTGCGAAAAGGGGGTTAATGTGAATAAACTCTGATGTAGCAAACATCACACCCACATAACTCTAATTTTCCCTCATTTTCACTCAACAAAGGTCATGTCCAAGGGTTAATAATAATCATGATCCACACCTTTCTCTTTCATTGTGTTCAGACGTTCGTCGCTTCGAGTCTGATGTGTCTTTTCTATAATAAAACAGCTTTAATTATTCTTCAAATAAGAGATAATTCTTTATAAAAAAATCATCACAAGGACAGCTTTTAGTACAAACATGCTTTTCAGTTCTCCTTTTTTTCTTTTTCAGATTTTGATATTGGCAAAACTTGGGGATGGAATACACAGCATTTTGTACAGATATTGCCATTTTTACAGCCTGGTTAAGTCTATGTTAGATGCAAAAATCAGAGCCAGTGTACATATTTATAATCACAATGGACAGATTTTGCACAAAATAATCTTATGTATGAAGCACACAGATTTCTATTTTTTTCATTGAAAATGCCTGCCTCAGTATGCCTGCTTTTTTAGTAAGACACAAAATACATTGCTATGGGTACATTTCATTGCACATTTTAGATGACAAATCCACTAGAGGGCGCCATCTACATTTTTACAAATCTGAAATACATTACTTGGAGTATATGTTGTTTTATCTTTTAGATACACGTCCTTCTTAAACACGTTCATGAGAAGGGGGCTTGTCTTAAAGGTCACCTTGAGAACCACTGACTTGAACCCTTACCTAAACCCAACCAATAGTGTTTTAAAAGCAAAAGTAAAAGAAAAGTTTACTAAGAGTATGTAGTTTAATTTGATATTCTTAACAACCACATAGTTTACCCTATAAACTGCCATCAAATGTATGTTTAAGTTAATAGTTGTGGTTTTGCAAAAATGTAGGCTGAGACATGCATTTACAATTAGCCTGTATTAATTTTTTAAAGGGATGGTCCACTATGACATCATATTTTTAACTTTTAATTCATATCTAATGTAGCTGTGGGAACATAAACAACATCTCTCAATGTAAAACGCTCAAAGTTCAATGCAAATTGAGACATTGGCTTTTGAGGACTTAGCTTAACAAAGCCTACAGCGAATAAAGTTTGAGGACTTCAAAACAATACATTTGGGTTAATGAAGTCATAAATTCTTCAGGTTATGTGCATACACCATTCACAGCAAAGGGGCGCTGTAATATTATAACAGAAAAACAGAGAAAGCTAAAAGCTAGAGCTTGTTCTGTTTATGTACTTGGGATTCTAAAAAGCACGACACAAAGAGAGAAGAGCTTACAGTTTAATTTTAATTATGTTCCAGAGAATCATAAAAATATATAGCTAGAATTTGACAAAGGACAACTTCCAGATTCTCTCCCAGTTCAGTGCTGGATTCTGCTAAAAACTCAAAGAAGAAGCAGCTTTAACCATAATAGACGAAGCTTTGGATTGTAAGTCACAATTTGTAAGTATTTTTATTTGTTTAAATTGATCTATTGCATGAGAGCTGGCATTAAGTTCAGCTCTGTGCTCTACATTTTCTGTCTGCTTCAGGCTCAAACTGATACAGTTAACAGCTACTCTGACTGGCAGTATTTACACAAAAGCAAAGCGCATGCTAGTAGAGAGTGACGCTTCCTGGTGACATGGAGCTAATTCGTGAATTACAGCACATAATGTAACTGACCAATCAGAGACTCTTGAGGACGGGCTAGTAAGAACTATGATAGTCGTTTTCATATAAGCTGAGTAGCTGTATATAATCAAAAGTAAGATAAAAATAGCGTGTTTTTTTTTTACAAAAGAAGCATGAGCACACATTGCTTTGCACCCCATAAACACACACAAGCCTTAAAATACACCCTGGACCATCCCTTTAACTTTCAACAATGATAATATTTAGTCAAAGGATATCAAATATGTCTTTTTTCTCTCTTTTTTTTTGTTTGTTTTGTTTATGCACTTGCCAACAACAAGGGCCATGTTTCTGTATGAAATGATTTATAGAACTATATACAACTATGCTTTTAAATTTTTTAAATACCCATGTTTAGTTCAAGCAAACTTTCTTCAGATACTAGTTCATGTTCCCTAAACACTGATTTCATCTAAGGATTAATAATAATCATGCTTCACACCTTTCTCTCTCATTGTGCTCAGATGTTCGTCGCTTCGGGTCTGACGTGTCTTTTCTATTGTAAAACAGCTTTAGTTATTCTTCAGATGACGAGCTAATTATTTTAAAAACACACAGCTTTAAACATCACCATGCTTTTTAATTCCTCCAAGTCTAACCTCTCTTTCTCTTTGTCTTTCTTTGTGTCTAACGAGGGACGTTTTGTAGGTGTAGGAGGCTGAAGATGAAGAGGAACAGGAGGGAAAGGAGCACTGGGATCCACAGTTTCTTTTCTAAGCAAAGAAAGTCTCTGATTATTTATGAGACAAAATACACTGCATCTAGTTAGAACAACATGTTACACTAAAGGTAGCCATGAATGAAAGACAGGCAGTACTTTGTATACAAGCCCTGACCTTTCTTTCTTCATCTCCCGTTTCTGAGGAGGATGCAGATGAAAAGGTAAAGGAGCAAGAGGAGCATTCGGATCAGCTGCTTTTTTGACCCTAGGCAGTGAATGTACAATTCAAATGTGGAATTACAAAGAGCACAAAAGCAAAATCTTAAAATGCATGTGGTGATACTAGAGGCCAGATTTAATAAACAGGGAAAATTAGCATAAGAGTGTAATTTGTATTAAAGCGCCAATGAAATAGCTAATGACTAACTCTGCAGCACTAATAATGGCTGCATGTCATTTACTAATAGGATGTTGAAAATGGAGGGTGAGAGGAAATTTTTGCTGCAAAAAAAACAGTAAACTGACAAATGCAAATGCCTGTTAAATTATCTTGAATGATTTATTTTAATACATTTCTCCCACAACATGTGTGTTTCAGAGGAAAAGTAAAGCCCAACTCACACTACATGATTTTTAAACATCTGATTTTTTTAAAATCTTTAAATTGCTTTGGTATTCACACCAGCAGCGCCTTTGTAGCTGCCTGCCACTCTGGGTGGCGACCTTCTGCAAACTCAGGTCTGTGTAGGTGTACAGCACGTAGAATACAACCGGTCTATGAGCGAGCTGAAAGAGGACCACTTTAGCTGATGCTCCTATTGGCTGTCTCTCAAGAAAGTCGCTCTTCATTTGCATAAAGTTAAAAGATTCTCAACTTTGTCGCGTCGCTCGACACGCCCACCTGGTCGCCAATCGTGCAGTCGCATGTGTAAACGGAGGTCGCCAGAAAGTGGCTCACTTTCTGTTGAAATGAACGGTTGCTTGTCGCTTTGAGGCTTGAAGGGGTCACACACTAAACAATATGATTATCACCAAATAAAGCTGTGGTGGCACTGCACTTTTCACCCTTTAAACCTCTTTTCATACGCACATGAATGTGGCAGACTGAAAATGCAAATTTCACTCGTTTCTGTGTTCCAAAGTTTGGTGAACTGATCTGCAAAATCACTTCACGTAATCGTGTGAGACTAATAGAAGTTATGAGACTAATAGAAGGGTCAAAATATGGACCCCTTTGTACAGAAATGTTAAATATGGACAAATCACTCGCTTTATCAATGTATAAAAATCTTGTTTTATCCCATCCATTTTCGCAACACTGACAAAATTTTGTATGCTCATACTCTAGTGTGACCGCAGCTTAACTCTGTCCAGCACCCAAATTACAGCCAATAAAATGTTCAGGGCGGAGTCTTAAGACAGAGCAAAACACCATTGTTTGCTTGTTGATAATATCACTGACACACAGCCTTCGAAATCTCTGAAAGTTTTAAAGGGAGCATTTAAAAGCATCATCAATCAGTTGATCCCTCATATATATGCACAGTTTAGCTGTGTGATGTGAATTTTATATGTTTAAATATCCATGTAAATACAGCATAAAGTGAGTGCATCAATAAAGATTCTGGTTTAAAATCCTTAGTTGATGTCCTGAATTTTTAATTTGAATCAAATTAAACTTCAAATTTGTATAGCTTAGGTCACTAAAGCAAGTTAAAGTAACATAAAATCCTATGTTGTTATGACTTTTTGATCACAGAATTTTTACATTGAATACAATGAGATCATACAAAAAATCTGGGGCTTCTGCAAGGAATATTCACCAAAGATATGCATGGTTTGCAAGATATGCTAGGTACAATATACATGTAAAACAAAATATCTATCTATCTATCTATCTATCTATCTATCTATCTATCTATCTATCTATCTATCTATCTATCTATCTATCTATCTATGTATCTATCTATCTATCTATATCTATATCTATATCTATATATATATATATATATATATATATATATATATATATATATATATATATATATATATATATATATATGAATGAATGAATGAATGAATTTTCTTGTCGGCTCAGTCCCTTTATTAATCCGGGGTTGACACAGCTGAATGAACCGCCAACTTATCCAGCAAGTTTTTACACAGCAGATGCCCTTCCAGCCGCAACCCATCTCTGGGAAACATCCACACACACATTCATATACTACGGACAATTTAGCCTACCCAATTCACCTGTACCGCATGTCTTTGCTCGGGGAAACCGTAGCACCTGGAGGAAACCCACGCGAAGGCAGGGAGAACATGCAAACTCCACACAGAAACGCCAACTGAGCCGAGGTTCGAACCAGCGATCTTCTTGCTGTGAGGCGACAGCACTACCTACTGCCAAACTACTCATATACAGTACAATAGGGGTACATTTTAGTGTTACAAATATTTAAATTACAAAAATAAATAGCAAAATAAGTCTTTAGAAAGGAGACATCAACATAATGCTTTAAAATTGTATTATTGTTATTTTAATTCAATGATTTATAAAATGAAATTTTGTCCAAATCTTTAGTAAATTATTACTTTTTTAATTGTGCACCTTTCTAAATATTTGCTTAGTGATTTTGTTTTGATACCTGCAGAAACATTTAACTGGATGATTTTTGGTCATAAAAGAATTAAGACAATGTAACATCTTTTTGGAAATGTGTTTTCATTTTGCCTGCACAGGACAAATATCTGTTACACTGTGTCCACTGTATATACATTCACATTTACATTTAGTCATTTAGCAGACGCTTTTATACAGTCTGTCAGTTGTTTTTTTTAACAGCAAAGGTTTGCACTGACAAAAAAATGTTTAATAAATCTGGCCCTTGACCATCTAGTGAACTAGAAATAATAATTCACAATTACCTAATTATTTACATACTTAATATTGTGCTTATAGTATCACTAAAAACCATCATAAAAGAGACTTGAACTAAAGGCACTCAGACCTTTCTTTGCTTTCCTTGTTTTCCTCTAGTGATGTACGTTTGGGAAGAGGTGGTGAAGGTGCAGAAAGGACATGTTTAGGTGGAGGTGGAGAAAGGACACGTTTGGGAGGAGGTGGAGGTGGGGAAAGGACACGTTTAGGAGGAGGTGGGGGTGTAGAAAGGACAGGAGTAGGAGGTGGTAACATTTCAGGAGGATCTTTCCTGTGAAAAGTAGATATTTAGTGTCCACTTATGATTAGATATTTATTACCACTAGGCTATAAAGACAGTTTTTAAAACCATATGAATTCAGTTATGTTAAAAGAGATGAAATCTAAATTTTGGAATTTGATGTAAAAAGAAAAATGTCATAGAATTTGGCAAATTTTAGGATGCTTATTTCAAAAGTGGTGCTTTACACCTAATTAGATCTTGACATGGACTACAATAATACACCACACACAAAGTTAAAACAAAAATGTAATTTAAGAAGAAAAAAAAAGTTTCATAGAGCCTTAATGACTGTGATAACATCCTCCCAAGTGCAACACCCGACCTTTCTTTCTTCACTTCTGATGAGCGCTTAGGGATAGGAATAGGAGGAGGAGGAAGAGGATGATGAAGAGGAAAAAGAAGATCATTTGTGTCTCTCCTGCATAAAAATAATCAAGTCTCATTAAAGATTAGGAGGAGATCACGCTTTCACATCACACACTGCATGCACTCCTATAGTTCATTGCCTAACCTTTCCTTCTTTCCATCTATGAAGGGGCGTTTAGGAGGATGAGACTGAAGAGCAGGAGAGTGTACAGAACTCTGAGTGTCTTTTCTGTACAAGAATCATCAGAATACGACATTTAATCTTTTGAATGGTTCATCCTTCAGTGCTGCATGCAGAATGTCCCGCATTAAAACATTCAACACATTCAAACATGCGACAAGCTCTGACCTCTTTACATCAACTGATGAGCGTCTTAGAGGAGGATGAGAATTGATGGAAGGAGGAGGAAAAAAATCAACCGGAGCATCTTTCCTAAACAAAAGTGAAAGTTCATCTTATGTTTCAACTGCTTGTAAAGACAATTATGTTATTATGCTTTAATTATTAGTTCATTAATCAGCCATTAACTTTATGAATAGTTTTTTTCATTAATTCCTGAATAATTCCAATGGTTAATCTAATGTTTACTTATGCACAATAGAAACAAATTCAGTGTAGTATAATCTAGTTAACCCTAACATGCTTGGGATTTTATCATGCTTAGAAAAAAAATACAGCAATAAATAATTTTACAGCAGTCACTTGAAATGTCACATGCTATGAAATGTCATATGAGAGCTTTAGTAATAGCTTTAGTAATAAATCTTGATACACTGGACTTTTGGTGATAATATATAATAACTGTATTTAATATATAATATTTATTAATTGTAATATGCCATAATATATAACTATATTTAATATATAATATATATCAACTATAATTTGACATAATATATAATAACTGTGTTTAATATATAATATATATTAACTATAAAATGCCACAATATAAATATAAAATATACATATAAAATATATAAAATATACATTCACTGAAATCTTCTATGTGAAGCTGCTTTTGACACAATCTACATTGTAAAAGCGCTATACAAATAAAGATGAATTGAATTGAATAATAACTGTATTTAATATATAATTTATATTAACTATAATATGACATATTTAATAACTGTAATTAAGTCACACCTGACTAGACAAAATTGTATTACATATTATATATAATGTATTTTTCTTTTCTTTTTTTAATTGTATGATTTTAATTTTGTATGTTTTGCTTGTATGATGTTAACTGAACTATATAGGGTGTTTTCTTTTTTCGCAGATAATGAAAAAAAGTGACTTGTATTCCAGAAAATACAGCAGTCAATTTTTTTATTTTTTTATAATTAACTTTTTTGTTTTGTAGCAATACTCGTGCAACTACTGATATTAAACCAGAGGGTTCCACTTCCTGTCCAATACAATCTAAATTTAAAGCCATATATTCTGTATTTAATCATCATCATTTACTCAGTCTCCACTTGTTCCAAACCTGTTTGAGTTTATTTATTCTGTTAAACACAATGGAAGATATGCTGATGCATCTTGTAAAAAAAAAAAACAGACATTAGCATCCATTTAATTGTTTTGTTATTGCTATGGACGTCTTTTTTCCCAACATACCACAGAATGTTTTGTTTTGTGTTCAACGGAAGAATGAAATTCATAAAAGTTTACAAACATTTAAATGCGGATAAACTGCAAGGAAATTTTTCCGTTTTGGATGAACTATCCCTTTAACAACATTGGGCCCTATCTTACATCCAGCGCAATAAGGTGCAAGGCGTGTTTGCCCCGATGTGTTGCTATTTTCAGATCAACGCAGCCTTAATTTTTCCGTTTTCTGCCACAATGTTTAAATAGCAAATCAATTTGAGGCACTTTGTGGACTCTTGGGTGTTTCGGTCAAGAAAAGAGGCATGTTAAGACACACGTTTTGAAAAAAATACTTGCTCTTAACAGACAAAATTAATTACTTGGGCTAATGGATGTCTTTGTGTACAACAGTTTCCTTATTCTAAAAGAGAAAAACAGAAATTGAAAGTAAAGGCCGATAGGAGGAGGCACATTCTTTATTCTTAAGCTGCAGATGCTCTGTTTAACTGTTTTCACGCCCTTTTGAGCCATGTGCTTTGAATGTTGCGCCAAGATCGCTAAAATAGAGCCCATTATTGATAGATGGGATACAGCTACAGCAAGTTAATAACCATTATTTATTAAAAGTAATTGTATTTTATCATTAACCATCCATCCATCGCAACCATCAAAGTAATAAAAACACAGTAATTATACTGCTGAATTATACTCATAAGTATTATTTTTAATATTTAACAAATTGCCCATTAAATTGTATTTTATTAATGCCTATGTCTAATTTAATGTAAAACATATTAATTATTTTTGTGGTGTGACAAAAAATATGCTATATTAATCTGAGTGTCCATCTAGACTTTATCCTTTGAAAACCTGTCTGACAAATTCTGAAAAGCCAATAATTTGCGCTCACCAGATTTTGAAAAAAGCCATTCATCTATACAGCCTCAAATATTTTAAATAGAAAATTAATTTAAAACGCTGATACTTTATAACAATACAGAAGCATGTTTTAATCCACAATAGAAGTGTTTCCAACCACAGTCACATGCTTTAAACCGCATACACACACAAGCCCTAACCTTTCCCATTTCACCTCCCCAGTCGGAGGACACTTAAGTGGAACAGACGAAAGCGTCAACGGGGAGGGAAGATGATCACTGTTCAGTGCATCTTTCCTAAACACAATGCACACAAAACTCTTCAATCTGATGGCATATTCTGGAGGAGGAGAGGGGCTTTACACAGAACTGGGCTTTTTTTCTCACCTCTCTTGATCCTTTTTATTGTTAATTGACTGTTTCTCTTTTTTCTGGTTACTTTCTCGTTTTTCCTTCCTGAACTCTGCGTCGATTTTCTCTCTCCTTTGTTTTTCATCAAGTTTCTTGTTAGAATCTAAGTCTGGTTTAATTTCCGCCGTCGATCTTCGCAGACTGACGAGATAAACAGGTTAAACCACAAGTATTTTTATATCTTACCATCTGCTTAAATCAGTATCTGTGCAGAGAAACAGCTTTTTGTTTTCAGAAGACTTTCCAAATGCTATTTCGGGACTTCTTCCGTGTTTCTCATTGTTATCAGCAAACGTACCTGGAGTCTTTCTCAGGAGAAGTCCTGCTGGGTGATCCCGATGGCTTGCTTGGATGACTGCCGTTCTTCACCTCATTTGGCCTCTCAGATTTTGGGTTCTGAGCTGATTCTGACAGACACAAAAGCATAGGTATAGGCAAAACAAGATAAATTTATGAAACTATTTTTTGTGCCAAACATTAAAAATTTAAAGGGCTTTGAATAAAAAACTGATATAAAAATAATCATTCAATAATCGTAACTGAAGATTAACCCTCATACCATTCTACATCAGTTTGGAACCTAATTAAAAAAAACTTATCTTTGCTGATAGGTGTCTTACCTTTTTTCTTTTTTCTTTTAACATTATAAAGATTATGCTTTTAAAAAGTTTGATATTTTGTTTGTCACATTTTTTTGTTACCACAGGATTACTGCCTTTGCTCTTCTATAATAATTAAAATATTGATAGACTGTTTGAAACTTCACATAAACCAATAAAATTGATAAAAAATACATTATTCACAATTGATGAGAAATGCAATTTGATTGTCCACCTTATTTTTCATATAACATATGTCATTCACTTTTCATCTACCGCTAGTTTGATATTGCAAATTTGTATTTCTTACAATATTATTTTAAAGCATTGCCTTAATATTTGTTATTAGTTTATATCTGAATTGTATTAATTAGGCAAGGCAAGATTATTTATATAGCACATTTCATACACAGTGGCAATTCAAAGTGCTTTTAATGAACAGGAATAAAAGAGACAAGTATAAGAAAAATAAAAAAAATAAAAGTGATTTAAAAACAGATGAAAACAAATTAAAATGTGTAAAACAGGTTATAAAAGAATAAAAAAAGAAAGACATATTAGTGCAGTCTGTCCGACAAAGCAAAGTGCTCATTCAGTAAAGGCACAGCTAAACAGATGTGTTTTCAGTCTTGATTTGAATGTGCCTAATGTTGGAGGCTTGGAGCACATCTGATTATTTCTGAAAGCTTTAATTAATTTGTTTACCATTTATTGCATGTTGAGATATATATATATTCACTGACCACTTTATAAGGTACACCTTGCTAGTACCAAGTTGGACCCTCTTTTGCCTTTAGATCTGCCTTAATCCTTTGTGGCATAGATTCGACAAGGTGGTGGAAATATTCCTCAGAGAATGACTGTAAAGGCCATTTAAGTACAGTGAACTCATTGTCACGTTCAAGAAACCAGTCTGTGATGATTCTCGGTTTATGACATAGGACGTTCCCCTGCTGGAAGTAGGCATTAGAAGATGGGTACACTGTGGTCATAAAAAGATGGACATGGTCAGCAGCAATACTCAGCTGTGGCATTGACAAGATGCTCAATTGGAACTAATGGGCCTAAAGTGTGCCAAGAAAATATCCTCTACACCATTACACCACCACTACCAGCCTGAACCGTTGATACAAGGCAGGATGGATCCATGATTTCATGTTGTAGACGCCAAATTTTGACCCTACCATCCGAATGTCGCAGCAGAAATTGAGACTTATCAGACCAGGCAACGTATTTCCAATCTTCTATTGTCCAATTTTGGTGAGACTATGTGACTGTAGCCTCAGTTTTCTGTTCTTAGCTGAAAGGAGAGGCAGTTGGTGTGGTCATCTGCTGCTGTAGCCCATCCGTCTCAAGGTGTTGTGTAGTGTAGTGCGTTCAGAGATGCTCTTCTGCAGTCATTGGTTGTAACGAGTTACCGTTGCCTTTCAAACAGCATCTATCAGGACAGTCTGGCCTTATCTTCTCATATCTCTAGCATCAACAAAGCATTTGTGCCCACATAACTGCCGCTCACTGGATATTTTCTATTTTCAGACCATTCTCACCCTAGAAACGGTTGTGCGTGAAAATTCCAGTAGATCAGCAGTTTCTAAAATACTCAGACCAGCCCGTCTGGCACCAACAACCATGCCACAGTCAAAGTCACTTAAATCCCCTTTCTTTTCTTAAATCCCCATTCTGATGCTCAGTATGAACTGCAACAGATCATCTTGACCATGTGTACATGCCTAGTTGTTGCCATGTGATTGGCTGATTAGAAATTTGCGTTAGTGAGCAGTTGGACCGATGTACCTAATAAAGTGGCCGGTGGGTGTATGAAACCTATAGTTTTATTTTTACCATAACAAGATCAAACTACATAAATATTTCTCTGAAAATTATATTTGAACACACCCTTGAATCCAACAAAATTAACATCAAAAACTGTGCCTCAAACCTAACAGTTTTAAAACTACCAAGAAGCCCAGAAGGTGAAGACACTTTTTTTATTATTGCTAAATAAAATAACATTTCTCCTACCTAAAAGCCTCTTCCAGTTTTTGATCAGAATCTTTGCCAAGTTGACAACATCCTCGTCTGTGCAATGTTTTCTTATTCCATTGACGGACATGCCGATTCTTGTATCCTGGATCCAAGTAAACATTGAACATTAAATCAACAAGAGCAGTAAGATGGCACTGAACAACCAGCTGGAACAATACATCTGGTGTATCTTATATATGTTGTATTATTTAGAGGTATCTTTTTCATCAATTTAAAAGCATTATTACCATCATTTTACTTTACACTTCTTTCTCTTACTCTAGATAGGCATTTTATTTTATTTTATAGCCCATATTTTTTTTCTATTTGCAACAACATTTCACTATAGAGATCAATACATTATATCAATACAACAAAACATCAATTAAACAGCAGACAAACCTGAAGAAGTTTCAGTGTCATGTTGAAATCTTTCAATTCTCTCAGAAGATCTAGAGCTCCATCCTACACAGACAGGGATAATGATGCTCTTTTAGTTTTTAAATAATTATTTAATAACCAATGAAGTGTTTTCTCCTGAAAAAAAGAATGTGCTGTGAATGCATTCAGAAGATTTGGGTGATTTTTTTCTTTAGTAAAATGTTTTTAGAACACTTTCAGCTTAAAATTAAAATACTTGACAATTCATAAAAAGCCAACAACTCCAACTTGAAGGGCTTTTTTGTCACTTTGAGATAGGGCTGGGCGATTAATCGAAAAGTAATCAAAATCGGCATTCAGATCCTATAATCGATTAAATTTTTCCAGATGAATTATGTACAGTATGTACTGATCTGTTTATACTTCTGCGTCGAGAGCACACATATAATCCAACATCTTTTAATGTCAGTTGTTCAACATTTATGATGTTCAATGAATAATCATAGATAGTAGATAATGTGTGTTTGCTTTAATTATTTTAAATCAAGTAATGCACCCTTCAATCAAAAAATCTCTCACTTGTAATTTGTGAGCATATTTACAGTACAAAACCTGTCAGTAAACTGTGGGGGCAGAAAAATTATAAAATAATCAATAATCAATCGTAATTAAGTTAAAATGTTCAATAAATCGAGATTTTAATTTTAGACCAAATCGCTGGTACATTTTAAAACATTTAATGTGAAAAAAGCTTAACATGGCTTAATATACCTAAACATCAACCAGAGAAACCCACATTTCTGTCAAACTTTACTTGTAAATAACCTCGACTACTGTAAGATTAGTGAGCCCCAATTCCATGGATAAAGTGAAAAGCGTCAAGTTAAACATATTCTTCCCCGTTAAAGTCTATGATAAGGAAAGATCTTTTCGTGGTTTAATGTATCCTAACAACAAGCAGGGAAAGTTAAATTTCTATCAAATTTCACTTGTGATTAACACTAACTTTGATTTTATAAACAGCCTTTTTAACATTTGGTTTCCCTTGGTTGTTGTAAAGTTACATTAAGCCTTTCCTTAATGGGGAGAAAACGCTTAACATGATGTTGTGCACTTTTTCTATAGAATTAGGGCCCATTCTTTTGCCAATAGTTAGTGTTAATAACAAGTAAAGTTTGACAGAAATTTGGGTTTCCTTGGTTGGTGTTAAGGTACGTTAAGCCATGTTAAATGCCTAAAAGTGATATTGTTCACTTGATAGACTAAAATAAAAGCTTATTCTTTTAACAGCAGAAAGTGTTTATGAGTATATTTTTATAGAAATTTGATTGTCTCTGAATGTTGTTAAGTTAAACCACATTAAGCTGTTATAATGGACTTCAATGGGGATACAACACTTAACGTCACATTGTTCACTTTATCCACCGAATGAGGGCTTGATCTTTTGATCGTAGTTAGCTTTAATCCCAAATAAAAATGTATAGATTTTTGGTGTGCCCCACTTGTTGAGGTATGTTAGGCCTTGTTCTTTTATAATGGACTTAAAACGCATAAGATGAAAATTTTCATTTACTAAAACTAGAGCTCATTCTTTTGACATCAGAAAGTGTTTGTCATGAGCAAAATTTGAAAGAAATGTTATTTTCCCTGCTTGTTTTAAGGTACATTAAGCCACATTAGGCTTTTTCTTTATAATAGACTTCAATGGTGGAGGTACGCTTAACGTGATGTTTTTCACTCTATCTATTTGACTCGTTCTTTTTTTAGTCATTAGGGTTAATTACAAGTAAAGTTTGACTGAAATTTGGGTTTTTCTGATTGATGTTTAAATACATTAAGCCACAATAAGCTTATTTTACATTAAGCATTTTAAAATGTCCTAAATCGCCCAGCTCTACTTTGAGATTTTAAAATAACAGTAATAACAACGACAAGCTGATGTTAAGTAACGTTAACAGCATTCTCATTTTTGGGTGGAAAACGCACAACCAAATTGAGACAAGTACAATACAAGCATTTTTTTTATTTTTGTATTATAATATCTCAAATTATTATATACTAATTCTATAAATACACTAAACAATAAAATGCACCAACAAAACAAAATGCATTTCATATTAAATGTTATGCTGATTTGAAACAAAAAGGGTGGGCGAATAATGAAATTTTCATGGTTTCATTTTTGACAAAACTTTCCCTTTAAATCCTGTGCTCGCGCGTGAGAAGAGTCGGCCAAACAAACACACACGCGTACACGCACAAACACTCCGCCTCGACCTTGTGCCATAATACACACATAACGTTATTGTTAAATGTTAACAAAACGTGAGCACGTCAATTCAATAAAAACAGTCAATAAGTATTCATTCTATCCATGTTCAGCTGGCATGTATAAATCTAAAGTAAATCTGAGCAATCCTTAACCAACACCTGTTGTCACATGTAGCCGTAATGAGCGCACACACAAACACACACACACACACACACACACTACTGTAATTCTTACACTTCAGCAGCAGTAAACACGGCGTGTGCAGGCATGTAAATGAATTAAGCACAATTAAAAAGCAATAAGCGCGCATGCAAAACAGTTTAAACGGGTTCTTAGTAAACACCACGCGCAAAGGTGGCACAAACAAACAGCGTGAAGCGTCGCGTCAAAATTAGGATCTCACCATGTTATTTCTAGACACCATCTTGTCTAGTTTTTTGGCAATCCGCAACAGGTCCTCCTCTCGCGTCATTGTGTGCGCATTAATATGCTGTAAGTGAAAATCAAGTGTGTATAGTACGTCAAGTCACATAAATCTTTATAATTCAGCGAAATGTTTGAAGTTTTGTTCCCAAACTTGAGTTGCTCCTGAACGGTCAGTTGAGAAAAGGGGGCGGGGTTTCGGGACAGTCGGAGCTGTCAATCAATCCATCTGGATTTATGACAACTCCTAAATATAGTTGCTACAAGGGCCGATAAAAGTTCAGTGATTTTTAGAGGGGACGTTTACAGCAGACGTGTTCTGTTGGAGTGTTTTTGAAATAGTTATGTACATAATTTTTTTTTATTAAAGGTCATGCATGTTTAAGCAAAAGGATGACATGTTTCACAACCAATTGAAGCATTCTTGTAATGTTAGCTAAATGTTTATTGGATGTTATTTAAACGTTTATCGAGTTGTTCGAGGCTTCGATGACAATATGGCACTATCGCGTCGGTCAGGATGTTTGCAAGAATTCAAAATGCACATTTCTCCAGTAAAAAAAGCCTATCAAGATAGTTTAGATACATTTAGCTCAATGGACTTTCCACTCAACAGGTGTTGGTATTGTCAGTTAAGCGGCAGATGGCAGCACTGCGACATGTAAATAAATGTTTTCTGGTTGCTGGAAAGGAGAACATGGACTCCAAATACATACATCGACCAGAAACAAAGGTATTAATTACTTCTCTGTAGTATAACTTCCTCTGTTGAAAACAAAAGAATATTTTAGAGGTTACTATGCTTCTTTTTTTTTTCTGAAACAATTAATGGGTCGTCACTATAAAGTAGCCTACCTTTGATGTCCCACAAGACTGAATCAGTGCTATATGAACATAATGCGAAATAATGAAACTCTGATGTTTTAATATTTTTGGTTACACACATGTAGGTAGAATTATAAGTGTTTTGAAATATGTTTTTTGTCAATTTTTGTCATATTTGTCATATAAAAGTACTTTTAAATATTCATATCGTCTTTAACAAGTCATTTGACCAAATAAGTCATTTTTTAAGTCACTTTTTTTTGTTCTCATTGTTTCATATTTTTAATAATTTTGCAGGCTTCTTTGAAATTACTGTCCACCCTGTCATGACGTAGTAAAGCCCCTTTAGGAAAACTCTCTGATGTAGTCACTGGCATCCTCATGCCCATTTTGCCTTTCTTCAGAGGAGGCTAAAACATCTAATTTGCATACATTAAGTATCTACACTTATGTTTTCTATTTCTCCTCATATTGTGTTTGAAATTTATTGTTATCAAGCTTAACATGTCCACTCCGTCATAGTAGAATATTAATTAATATGTATAAAAATTCAGAACTTATAAATATCCTTGCTTTTAAACTGTGTACAAAGAGCTTAAATAAGGAAACACTTTGCCAGCTGCAAATACAAACTGTGTTGAATACTATCTTGAGCTAAAAATGTCCTCCCTGTCATTTTCCACCCTGTCACAAATTCTTCTTTGACAGGTTGGATATATGCATAGGTATTGACATTTTATTTATTTACTTATTTATTATTTTGTCAATTAGTTAATGTTTTGATGTCACACACACACACACACACACACACACACACACACACACACACACACACACACACACACACACACACACACACACACACACACACTCACACTCACACACACACACACACCTGTAGATGCAATACATGATATTGCATATTTTATTGGAAAATAAATGTTTTGTCCGGGACGACGGGATGGTGCAGTAGGCAGTACTGTCGCCTCACAGCAAGAAGGTCGCTGGTTCGAGCCTCGGCTGGGTCAGTTGGCGTTTCTGTGTGAAGTTTGCATGTTCTCCCCACGTTCGCATGGGTTTCCTCCGGGTGGTCCGGTTTCCCCCACAGTCCAAAGACATGCGGTACAGGGGAATTGGGTAGGCTAAATTGTCCTTATGAGTGTGAATGAGAGAGTGTTCCACAGTGATGGGTTGCAGCTGGAAGGGCATCCGCTGCGTAAAACATATGCTGGATAAGTTGGAGGTTCATTCCACTGTGGCAACCCCAGATCAATAAAATGACTAAGTTGAAAAGAAAATGAATGAATCAATAAATCTTTTGTCCATTATTTCATTATTATGAATAGACTTGTTCCATAATCTAAAAAGCTGGGTTGGTGAAGGGACACATTACTTTTCTGAAAATATGCATTTTATAATCACACTGCAATGAAAATATACTTAAACTACTCTGAAATTGTCCATGACAGGGTTGACATATTTTGAGGTTTGTTTACTGTTTTTCTGCTTGCAGATTATTTGTAAAAAAGTGCAGGAGCTTGACCAACATTAATTTCTTACAGCCCAAGGCCTAATTAATACAACAGTATTTAAATCAGAAATCTCAAACTTTTTATTTTTAATTTTGATGTCTCCAAGGCACTAATGACCCTAATAGACTCTTGAGAATCAAGTAGGTTTGGAACCATGGTGCTGGTCAGGATCAGCATGATCAGCAAAGAACCATCTTAAACCAGCTCATGACCAGCAGGAACCAGCTGTAACCAGCAAGCACTCTTCAAACCCTGCCTAACCAGCCTCCAGGCAGGCACTTGCTGTTTTTTCAACAATGGACATCTGCAGTTACTTACCTTCCCAAGCCATCTAAAATTTAGATTACTTTATGTTATAGCTTTATTTTTAGCTTTATTTTATACAGATTAAAAAGTTAAAACCTTTGGTTGCAACTGTAGTCCATGTGGTAATTCATAAAATTGTGCGTCAATCACTTACCAGCATTTAAAAAAATAATAATAACATACAAGCCTACAGGCAAAACAAATTCAATACTTGTGAATGTATCTTCTGATTATATACACTGTTATACATAGTTTTTTTATGTGTTTTTTTTTTTTTTTTGACTTTGAAAGTGCCAGAATCCATTGATGTGGATTTTTTTAAATCACCAAGGACTATGGTTTCATCTAAACCAGAGATGCCCAAAGTAGGGCCCGCGGTAACCTTTGATTTGGCCCACCATCCCATCTGAGAAGAGATTTAGAATGAAGGTTGCGGAAAATGCCTTCAACAGAGATCGTCATTTTAAATTTAACGTAACCTGTTGTTTGTTTGTTTGTTTGTTTGTTTGTTTGTTGAGCTACAAAAAAAAGTCAACTAAAATTAAATGTTTCAATTAAATGTTGTGCAAGAATCAGATTTTTAAAAATCTAAATACTGTCACTTGAAGATAGAGGACAATACACAAGACATCGACAAGCAAATCAAAGTTTTAGTATTGCTCAGCATCGTGTTATAAGTGTGTTGTATGTGTTTTTCTTGTAAGAAGTTCATTCAAAAACGTAAAAAAAAAAAAAAGTAGAATTACTAACATGATTAAAGTTTTTTTTTTTTTTTTTCATTATTAATAAATTAGGAAATTGGCAGCATTAATGTAATAGTTTGGTGTTTTTACCTTCGGCCCACCCACTTAATGAAGTTTTTTTTTTTTTTTTTTTTTGGCCCTGCATGAGAAAAGGTTTGGGCACCCCTGATCTAAAGTATTCTGTAATGATCTACTGAAGAAGAAATTTAACTAAATGTTTTAATCTTTGGGTGAACGGTCCCTTTAAAGAGAAACGAGAAGGCGGTCAGCATTGTGACAGAGGAACTTTTTTCATAGAAGAAAACAGGAACAATCATAGCACTATTTGGCTTTATTTTGCAGCTTGTGGGAGGGTGATATTAGATTTTCACAAACCCTCCTACACTTTTCATCACACTCTTTTTGTAGGAACAACATCTCATTGTTATTCATTCAAACATTCAGAGCATTTTTGAGTTCAAAAAATATACTTCACTGTGTTTCTGTATGGCATGACCTCGGATGACATCTGTCCTAAAATAACAGCAAATATGTTGTGGTGTTTTTCCCACCAGAATACATCACAGCAGCAACAATTCATGGCCAGGATGGTACAGTATACACAAATATTCATCACTTCCTCTTAGCTAGCTTTACTGCAAGTATGTGCTTCCTCCGATGTCTTCACCCTAAATAACCTCCATGGCTTTTATGGTTGCATAAATTATATAAAATTATCAACATACATTTAAAATGTGCTGGATTACAGCAGGTTTCTGGGAAACAGATCTATCATTACCCTCTACAAGCACCCCACATCAGTCAGCAACTGCAACCGGTTCTCAACAGCAACAGACAGACAAACTGAACTTGCCTCGAAGGCCTGGTTTTCAAACCACAGTGAAAAAAGAACAAGGAAGAAAAAAAGAAGAGAAAAGTTTTTCCTTTTGATGACCTCCCGCTTCAATTTAACGACAAAATAATGAATCCACCAGTACCCACCTACAGTGTCTTCTCACAGAGTTTGCGGTGTCTCTACCAATTATAGACACAAGACGCCGGACTCCGGCAATTATGGAGAGTCTGAGATGACATCAGACCAGAAAATGAATGATTTCACCGTGCTTCAGTTTTTTTAGGCGCAGAGAGCCCCTGTAATAAAACGCAAAGATGCTAGACTGGATTGCCACGGCATGCACACCAGCCTCTGGTTAGAGGGTGTATTTATAAAATCTCAGCAAAAGACATTTATATATATATCTTTTTTTTTTTTTTTTGGGTCATGCTGGATAGTTCTAAGAATGTTTGTATGATGAGAATTTTAAAAGGGAAGTGATATTCAATGAGGATTTGACACGCTCACATGCCAGGAGGCAGAATTGTGCTTTGTGTACAGTAGGCCTGGTTGAAACCACAAAAGGTGTGTTTGTCATTACAGCTCTTACAACAACAGACGGATTTTAACAGTGTTTCATACAGCATAATTAGTCTGATGTAGTGCAGATCCAGCTACCCAAATGTCCAGACACTACTCAGTTGTTCTTTAAAGAGGCCATATGATGGTATTTCAGGGTGTGTTCACTCTTGGAAAGTTTAGTTGGGTTAAATTATTAATGTCAATGCTACCATCTGAATTTTGGTGCACACCAAAAATGTGGGAAAAGACTGCTGAAAAACTGTCTCAGATGAACTGTGGTGCTGTTTGACGGAGTTAGGAACTGTATGCAACACAGACCAAAGACATCTAAATGGGACAGAAAGACAGACTGCTTGAGAAGTTGTTGGGTTTTTCTTTTTCACAGTAGCAAATGTTGCTCATTACAATTCAT